GATATTACGATCGCTGTGTATCCCCTCCTGTCCCCCCCAGGTTTTTAGGTTAGGTTGGCAAACAGTTTATCGCTTCAATTTTAAGATTGTGTTGGCGCAAATCCCCCCAACCAGCCCCGAAATTGTCAATAAATGCGGCAAATATCTTATCCCCGCCTCGGGGACAACTTCTAGATAAAGAATCTCTCTTCATTACGACCTTGCTACATTTTTATGAAACTTACTGGCAAATAAGCCGGACGAATTTGAACGATATTGAATCTTATTTCAAGAATCAATTTCCTCTTCAATTGTTCTCTGTTCGATGAAATTCGAACAGAAAGATTAAGCTTGAGAATAACCATAGAATATGATAGAATAGAAAAACCATATATATTTATGTTAATTTTTCTTAAAAATCGTTTAACGACTAAAATTAAAGTACCGTTGTTACATGTCAAACGACTGAAACATCCCCGAACATCGTTTGGAAAATTACAATTACATCCATTGAAAAGAAAAGAAACCCTCCGTCGAAATCCTCGACTCATTCGACAATATTCTCGTTAACGAAACGAAGGAAATTTGCCATTACATCCGTATTTCTTTAAAAATCACCTCGTCCAAAGTGTCGAACAACCCGCTCTCGGTGCAGAAATGTCGCGAAATGTTGGTTCCGCTTGAAAGCCGAGGCGAAACGAGAGAGAGAGAGGAGGAAAAAGTCGCGTAGACGGCGTTGAATTAATGAAGACACTGCGAGGAGGAGAAGGGTTGACGTCGGTTCTGGAAACGGGGGGATCTAGAGAGGGGGGGATTGTCTTCACTCGAAAAGTGAATGAACGCGGAGAATCGGCTCCCTAAGGTCAGGGCCTGGCGTTTCGGCCCTGCGTCGAAATAAAATCTAGCAGAGTGGAGATAAAAAGAGCCGCGGCGAATTCCCGGCGGTCTGCAGCCGCGGACCGATACGAAAATAAGAAACCTCGACTAAAATTAACCGGCCGTTAAATTCTGCCCGCGCTTTCTCCCTTTCTCCTATTACCATTCTGTACACACACATACATTGAAGAGAAAGAAGTTTTCCGAAATTTTGGCGAATGGAGAATGGAGGATTGTTTTCGAGTAAGTGATACCCTATTTATACGTTAAACAGGGAATAATGGAGTATTCTAGTTTAACGAGAGCTTAAACTGATATATTTCGCGTTTGAACTCGATCCTCGTGATATTTAACCGAGCCTCTAGTTTTATTTGCCGTTAAAAGAAGCTGTGTCGCACGCTTTCGTCCCGTCTCTTCTTTCCAAAATTCTTAAGCTTGTCTACGTTTATTTTTATTCCTCCCTACACGTAAAATATGACGAGTGAACAGAAATATATATGTATATATAGAGCACAATCCCGTGTTTCAAATTATCTAAATAAAACTTGACTACGAAGTTTAAAATTTAACCAGAATTTTTAATCCTTCCCCTGAAACTTTTATTACCATTCTGAAAATTCGCAACAACCTCGCCCGAATTTTCACAATACAGCGTCATAGCCTGCATACTCCTTCCTTCCAGAAATATCTCGTTTGATCGGATCGCAACGACGCGAGTTGGGCGGACACGCGATGCGCCGAGGAGTTTTCTTTTTAAACCATTCCATCGATTCCAGCTCTTCTTCGTGCAGAAATATTACGTGACGCCACGTGTTTCTGCTTCCCGTCACTAACAAACACGAGGCTGTATGTTTCTCTTCCACGAGGCACAGTAGCCGTTGGACGAACCTTCCGCGTAAACACACGGTTGAAACGGATCAGGGACCGTGAAAGGGATCTCAGACACCATGATTCCGAGAACCATTTCGACCATCTCCCTTTTGGGAATAAGAAACGAGGGTTGAGATACGAGTTCTACGATGAAACGCTCGAGGGGATGGACGGGCAAATGGAGAGAAAGGTGAAGGTTTCGTTGAAATTGTTTCAGAAACTGACGCTGGGTATATGCAACATGTTTGTACAAATAGTTTTGATGACGAGGAAAATTGGAAAAGTTGATAGATTCTTTTGGAATAATATTTTTAATGAGCGTGAAGGGAGAGATGCGATTATTGGGGAAGTTTGAGATAAATGTTCGAGTGTTAAAAATGGAATGTCTGGAATGGTTTCTTGTTTAACGAGAGTTACGATCCGATTCATTTTATGTCTGCAGTGGAATTTCTCCCTAGTTTTGGATAGTTTTGATAGAAGAAAATTGTATTGATTTATTCTGAAGGATTATTTTTATTAGATGTTATTTATCTTCTGTACGCTGTTTCAACGTATATTTATTCGCGAGAAAAATTTAGATTGTTATTGAAGAAACTTTTTAACGATCTAAAAACTTAAAAGTGGAATAAAATAAAATAAAAATGTAAAGAAGATAAAAATAATCTTTCTCAAATGTATCTTAATTTCTAAGATCCTATTTTAAAAAGTTTAGAAAGATTTAAAGCGGATAAAACGATGCCAAGGCCAGAATAAAGAATTAACGAGCAACACTCTCGAAGATTGTAATTTCTAAAAATATATATACCGAAGGATCTAAACTCCAAGAATATGTTAAATAATCGAACGGAAAGCGATGCATGGCAATATCCATCGCGTTCGAATAATGGAAAAAAAAAAGGAAACTCGGTAAAGTGGAGCAGGAAATCTATAATCTTCTCCCCTTTCTGTTATCGTGTATCGTATTTCCTCGTGAATATTTTCGCGACACGCGAGCCTGCTTCTCTTTCGAAGGGGTTGGCCGCGATTAAAATGGCGATCAGAGGCCAGATGGAATTCTTGCGGAACGATTATTTCGGGACGGTGATCCTGCGGGACCCGAAAACATCCCCCTGACCAGCTGGATCGAATTACAGGGCCGTATCCTGGCACCGGTTCAATTTTCCAGCTAAATATACCGGCGATGTATATTTGGCGAATTGCTTGTTTCAGACTTGTATTAGCGTTCATGTTGAAGTGTTACAAAAGCACAGTGGAATTTCGATTGAAAGCAATTGGGGAGTAGGAGGCATTGAAAATCGAGAATATATGATAAAATGGAGAAAAATATGATTCGACATTTGGAATAATTTTTGGTGAAGAATGCGATAAAAGTGGAGATAAACGAAAGTTAAAGGCGAAGTATAAGTTAAAAATATTTCGTGTAAAAAAGACACTTTGGTATAATAATAAACTAAGTTTAGTTTTCATTGCGATCTGTAATTAATAATTGATATTGCATCATGCGATCAATAGGTTGTTATGTAAAAGTATTATATAAAGATATTAATCTCATCAAGATAATGATACTGATCGATAAAAATTTGTTGGCTCGCATAAATTATGAAAAATATCTCAGTTTACTTTATTGCGGTCATCGATATCGTACATTGTGCGTATAAAAATTATATGAATTTGATAAACAAATTACACACGCTTTATATATTGCTTTTATTATCGTATATTATGTAATTGTGCAATTAGAAAAAATTAATTAATAAAAACAGGACACAAGTGCGTTTACGTATCGTTGATAAGGATGGTGTCTATGAATACCAAGGAATTATTTGAAAATATAATCAAGAATCTTATTAATTTTGCATAAATATTATAGACAATGAATAACATGTGTATAAAATATTTGAAATATTGAATTATTAATTTGAAAAATATGATTTTGTTTTCTTCGCAACAAAAAATACTAGAGATATAAGTATTAATTTTGAATTATTTTATTAAATTGAAATTATGTATAATATTAATTGTATATATGTATTTAAAGTTATTATTCAAAATCGGGACAATGTCATTGATGCGAAGTTAGGAAACTGTTTTATCAATGAGGGACCAATAGCAGCGCTCCTCGTAAAGAACTATTTCAGGATCTTGTTTGTAGGTGGTGGCGACACATGTCTTGCTATCTGACGCCATCTAGTGTTTAACTTTTAATCGATTTCAGGTTGTGATTCAAATCTCGAAAAAATCACGATAAAAAGAATGATCGTTTAGAAAATGTTTTCTATAAGATAATAACCTACTAACATTTTCCTCATATCGTTCTAAATCTTTTAAATAAGCAAATGATTAACGACTTTCTCGTACGTAATGAAATTTATTATCGAATGAAAATATGCAATTTTAATGCAATAGCAATTGTTAATGAATTAGCCAAAATATTTGTTAATTAAGTTCAGTTATATCAGTTATAAAAGAAAAATATGAAAAACGAGCAAACAAAATAACGCAAAATAAAATAATTGTATTGGACATGCTCGAATAACATTATAGGCAAGAGACATGTCTTGTTAGAAAAGATAACTGTGTATATGATAAATTTAAAAAGTAATATTTTTATAGTGACATACCCAAATTTCCCAGTCCAATTGCTCCCACTCTTGGTTCAGGATTATTCTCATCCTAATGTTACGTAGTCTAATGTTTCTAATTACATCTTGCACTGTTCTTTCCACAGAAAACGAAACATGTTTCTTTGGTGCACGCATGGCGTCGAACAATATTGCAAAACTATTCGAAAATTATTTGCGCGCGCTTCTCAGTTTGTTCGTTATCGCCACCTTGTGGCCATTTTCTGTATTAGACTAGTAAGAGTCGATAACATAGAGCGCTACTGCATATAAATTCAAAAATTAAATTTAAGATTCTTTTATATTCTATTATAAAGAAAATACCGAAATAAGCATTTTAATAATGATTTTTTTATGATAGAAATTAGAGAGTTTTTTAATTTTTTTACGATATTAATCACTATAAAATTACTATGATTGCTATTAAAATTGCACTATGATTACTATATCTACAATATAAAATTTTACTTCGTCATACGATTGAATTATAAACGACACATTTGTATATTTACGAAAATATTTCCGAAAATGTTGACTTCCACGAAATATGTTATTGGTACCTATGTATATATTTTGCAAAACAAAACATTGAATATTTCTTATAACTATCTAATCATAATATTTCTTACTTCGTTCCAGGAAAGATTATATCTTCGATTTGGCGCGTAATTTTAGTGGAAGGGGAAATGTCGTTTCAGCCAATTAGAAAGTCCTTAGGCAATCCTATAATGCGTAGCATCATTGTTCTGTCGAAAATCTTCGTGACGTGACGTGTTGCTGGATTAACCTGTATAATATTAACTACGCAGTATGTATTTTTATTTTTATTCAATTGATTTTTATAGAATATTGTTAGTTCCTTTTATTTAACAATCCATTGAATATTTCTAATAAGAAAATTAACTAATTTCTCGAATGTATTTTTTCTCCGATCGTATCTGTATCTGTTAGGATTATAGTTTGTTATATCAATCTTTAAAATTGAATTTAAATTCAATTATTGTTTGATATATGTACTTTCTTTTAATTTTATACATTGCAAGTTCTATTTCTTTAAATCTGTTAATTTTTTTCCAGATTACTATTAGTTGATTGCAGGATGCAGCATATGGGAATATAAAACACCATGATACGCCATATTGATTACGTCAAACAGTCAACGTATTAATTTTTCAAGAAGATTTGGTAATGTATAATTTATTTTAAGATTATATAAACGTATATATGCGGTTGAATCGTATATTTTTTCAATAATATTCGATATTCAATATACAATTCAATAATACATAATTCAATACGTAATTTATATATAATTTAATAATTTCGAAATATTCGACAACGATAAAAGGTTAACCACACTTTTTATTTAATTTGTTATTTGTGAAATAATAATTATTTAATAACTATCAAAAAATAATGAATACGCGATAAGTAATAGAACATAAATATGAAAACAAATATTGTTCTTTTTTTTTAATCATCTTTCTCTTCTTGTATTAATGCAACTTTATTTTCAGAACATTTTTTTTTATTACGACCAAGCGCAATGTGGTCAATAGAGTCAGTGTTTGTTGCGCAATAGTATTTTCAATATATTTCAGTGTATAAAACTTCTTATTTATTTTAATTATAATAATCATTCGCGAAATTAGAATCAGTGTTTGTTCGCCTATAATAATTTCAACAGTAATATCAATAGTTTTTTTATTTATTTATTTATTTTTTTTAATATTCATTTTCGGTACATATTAGAGTCAGTGCATCAAGAAAATAAAACAATCATCTATCATCATAAGGTAACTCTTTTCTATTCATTTTATTCTTTGTATTGTTTGTACTTTTCTTATTCTTCAATATTATGAATTGATATGAAATAGATATTGTACATATAAATGTATATATTGTATCTTGATACCAATATTATATTTTATCTCTTTATGAATTTTTTATCATATTAACTTATTAGAAACTAAATTCCACAAAATATTATCTTAGACAATATATGAATCTTTTCTTTTAAGTGTGAACATTATACAATCTGAATACTAACTTCTTTTTTGAGATATCTTGATTTATAATACAATATATTTAAAAAAATGTCTTCAATATGTTCGCACAAAATTATCAGATATTTCTATGATGTTTGGAATGTAAATCATCAATATATATGATTGTGAAGAATGTGATTTTACTTTTTCCAAAATTCCTTAAACATTTTATCTTCATTCTTCAATTTTCAAAGAATTCGTTCAAGGAATGAATCCTATCTACTCAATGAATTCAGATATCTTTGCAAAGATCAGTCCTCGGATTCTCATTTAAAAAAGAGAGACTTTACCATTCAATCTTTGAGGGTATAAAATTCATATTGGTATCTTGAAAAGATTTCGTACTTCCACGAGAAATAAGCTATCCGTTCGCAATCGTTGCTCAGTAATAAAGTCCACTCGTCTGGCGCGCTGCTTTCGGATTACTTCTTATTAATTCTAAAGCGGAGGCGGAAAAGCAAATACTCCCGAATTATTCATAATCCGAATGCCTTCGGGACCGGCATAATGGAAATCCATAGAGTAAAAGGCTTTCGTCGCGGTTCTGTTGATTCCTTTTTACCAATGCAATACCCTCTCCATTCCCTTCAAACGTCTGGAAAGTCGCGCGAAAACAGTCGAAAAATAATTTCGAGAACTTGGAACCGCCGCTATTATTAGCGCTTCGTGCTTCACGATTCCACGTCCAATGAGTCTCTTCGGTTTTAAAACCGTGAAATTCATATTAAAACGTTCCCTGCGAATTATTTTTCGCCATGGAAAATTATCCACTGTAGAGAAGAGGGAAAGGAGAGAAAGAAGAGAATTGCTGGACCAGACTTCGGACCGGAACAGATTTAAATCTCACTCTTCCTCGTTTATGGTCTGATTCTCTCTTTCTCTTTCTCTCTCTCTGTTTGTTGTTGCTCTGTGACGTTGCGGAAACAGCCGTGCCATTATGCGTTTCCTGCAGTTGACGTTCCATCTCCCTTCAAGACAGAGCTAATTTCCCGGATTTAATTAGCCGGCGCGTAAAGGCGGCTCCTTTTAATCGAGGATTAATTTGCACCGTTTGTATGCGTGTCTGCTTTTACATTTCCTTTTCGGTTACGCTCCTCTTTCTCTCGATTCGCACGGACCGTTTTTGGGATTGGGATATGATAGGATATGATACAGTTCATTGAGATTCGGGCTTGTTCATTTCGGGCTGTTACGAATATCGATAGTTTGAATGTTATTCGGGTTCTGAATATAATTTCTGTATTTATCGTTAAGAGGTTTAAACGTTAATTGGAATTACTTGGTTTACATTGTATTTAAAGTTACTATGAGATTTCGAATTATATTAAATTGGATAAAATGGTTCTATATTCAAATCGGAATCGAAAACTAATCTAGATTCGGTTATATCGATGTTAGGTTTATCAAATCGGAGGCTAATCGTAGAATAGTTAAGATAAGTCTTCGAAATGGGAACAGGATTAACCTCGAGTCTAATTATCTTCGTTCTAATTTCTGATTTATTTCATTTATGTGAAAACAAGAGAAAAATTTCAAAAATTCAATTACGTTCTTTTTTTTATTCATTTTTCATGTCGTATAATAATTAAAGGAGAATATTAATTATTTCCATGAATAATTTTGCCGTTTATGGAAAAAACATATTCCAAATTTTCTTTTAAATTATTTTCCATCCTTTTCCCTATTAAATATATTTTTCACATTTGTAACGTTTGTAACGTTAGTTAACCAAGCTAATGAAAAAATCATGTGAAAATGAATTCTATCTTCATTAAACAAAATTACGACCAAAACGTAAAACGACGATCGTGCATCGAATGATGGATCCGAATCGTCCGATTGAATTTTTTAACTAAACAGGCGTGTGCGCTGGAATTTATCCAATCCGCAGATTAGATTGCTCCTGCGGTTCTCCCATCCCGATACGGGCGTCCGCCGAGATTATTAAAACATTCTCCGTTATTAATCCGCCCCGTCACTCGAGACCCCCGTCGACGAGCACTTTTCCCGCATTTCCCACAGGTTTCTCTCCCTTTCTCTCCTCCCCCGCGCTTTCGATTCTAATTCAATCACCGCGATTCTCCTCGAGAACTCTCCCATCCCATCCCCCCGCGAGTTTTCACCCTCCAATGTCATCGGGGGAGGCGAAAAAAATCCGTAGAGGCTCGTATAAATCCTTGTCCGATCTTTTTTTCCATAGAAACGCTTTGAAACGATTATTCGGGACGAATGATTCGCGAAATTCCGCGGGGTGTATGCGTATATTCATATTTTCTTGGGGGTGAAAGAGGAGGCACGGGTCAGAATGGGGGAGGGAAGGATTGTTCGCCGAGTCAGGAGAAAGTCGAGGGTTGTAAAGTGGAAGTTTTACTGGAATATTGTGGGGTTTCGAGAGGGGATGAAAGTAAGGGGATGAAATTCTGCTCGTGATTGGAACGCTTCTCGGTGGGGATGTGTTCAAGGGGAGGAAAGTTTGGCGGGAAGGAAGTGGATTCGACGTTTTTACGAAGTTTCGTAAGTGTGGGAAAGCGTGAAAAGATATCAGCTTCGTGGTACAATAATTTTGCAAGGAACAGATGATTATTCCAAGGGAACGAAGTGAACCTTTTGTTATTTCATCTTGTTGTTACAATGCGGATGTTTATTTTCTACGCGATCGGTATTCATGAGCGTGCCTCAGAATATGATTCTCAACCAGCTTATTATTTCGAGAAAAATTTTAAATATAGAAAATCCCTCCGTTCGATTTTTCGTGAAAAATTTATCTAAGTGAGAATAACGAAGATTATACGTCATTCGAGCTCGAACGTGCTCGATTAATTTTTACAACGCAGAATAATCAACTTGACGAATATTCTCTTACTTTCTGCTTGCATATACCAATATCTCGTTAAACGCCAACTCGAGTAATTACTCTACTGTTAGAACATCATAAAAATTCCTCGTTTTACGAACAAATTCGTCCTGGGATAGGATTAAACTATACACCACGAGCAAAACACGCTCCCTCCTCCCCCCTCCTCCCTAAATACACGTGACTGAATTGTACAACCGAGAAAATGTTTCCAATTCCAAAGAATACCCTCAGAATTCTCATTGTCCAAAGGCGACATTGCGACCCCGAGTCTCTCCTCCCAAGCCCCTCTCGACTCGTATACGACACGGAGCGAACAAGAAGCGGGCGTAACGAAGTGCAAGTGGCAGAAATTCAGAGCAGGCGCAAGCCGGTAGCCGCGAGGATGGCGGAGGAAGGCGGAAAATTGCAGGTCCGTATTTCGCGCTTGTCGACGGTGTAATTAACGAGCGTCACGTCGAAATTACGTCTCAGAGGAGGAGGAACGATGCCGTGCTGCGATGCTCTTCAGGGGGTTGGTGTCTCGTGCTAATTTTATCCCCCCCCCTTCGTCGAACGCATCCCATCGGCCGCCTTTGTGACGTTGATCCTTCTCCCTGGAAGAAGCACCACCAGGAGAATCCCTTCTCCCCTTGAATAGACGCTCCTTAGAAGGATCGGCGAGAGCTGATGGCAATTATTTTCTTACCTGTCCCCCTTTTCCATCAGCCATCCCTTAATTATAAGAGTCCTGTAGAGGCAGTTAACCAGATCGTCGAACGAATTTCGACGGTTTCGTGGCGACTTGGAATCGAGGGGAAGGACGATCGCGTAAATGGCAGGGTGCAGGTTTGAGTTTCGTCGCACGTATCTTAATCTCGAGGAACGATCGTTGGCCACGTCCAAGTAAGATCCAAGTAATTCGAACGGTATCTTTCGGTTTAAACATTCCGTATGGAATTGGCTTCTGATTGGATTTCGTTTTTTTTTTCTTTCATTTTAATTAAAAGAGTTATTTTTTGCGGTTGCTCGATAGCAGTTAGATCATCGAGATCGAAGCGGAGATCGTGTTTTTTGATAAATTCGATGATGTTACAAATTGGTGGAGTGGACAAATTAGGAGTTGAACAAATTAGGTTTTTCCTTCTGCAGTTTTTTGTAGTTTTGTGTGCGAAATGGGATTGCGAAAAATGAGGAAGAAAAAGAAAAAAAAGAGAGAAAGGAAGATTAGGTATTTTGCTAATGGATTTCTCAATGAAATTAAGCAACATCTTTTTTTCTTTTTATCTTCTCTGTGAAGCTTCATAAACATGCATAATGGAAAGATATCACAATGTGAACGATGTCTCAGGCTGTCAATTAAATCCAATCTAGAGATCTCTCCTCCATGTTTCTTAATTATTTAGTCGACCAATTAACATTCCATCGTCGCTTACCAACTCGTTAAATAATTCGCTGATTGCGTATTATCGAAACGTGTCTCCTAAAATTCCATACCGAAATTCCCATACCGAGCAACAAGATCCTCGATTCTTTAACAAATTCATCTTGCAATCGAATCAGAAATTTCGATAATTTGCTGTTCGAAAGAGGGAAGGAAAACGATAAAGGCTTCCACTTTCGGTTCATCACGAGCGTTTAATTCATCGAGAGATCGGTGGCCGAATGAACGAACTTCAATTCCGTTTCCCCGAGAAAAATCCTCTTAACGATGATAGCCAGACAGAGACTTTTTCAGCACGGGCAAGTGTGATTTCCTTCCGTTGAGGAACCGCCTCGTGTTTCTGTCGGGTTTAAGGTCAGCCATTTTTCCGCGACAGACCGGTGGACGTAAGAGGATTAAGCCAGTTTTCTTGCCGGAGGATTTGCCACGTTGCACAGATGCTGCTTGTTCGCCATTTTTGCTCCTCTCCCTGCCATTTCGCGGGGAATTATCCTCGACGAAATTAACGAAGGATTTATTTACTCCCGAATTACTTTCCGAATATAATATTTTTAGTCAAAGCGAATTTTATTTGCTTTTTGCTCGATCGAAGAGAGGGTCTTCGTTTCTTTTAACATTTTTCGGAACGAAGGGTTGCGAGGATGTTTAAAACGAGGCGTATTATTTAATTTTGGAGGGAAACTCGAGTGATGGGATAAAAATTGTAATTTGTAGAACATGAGAAATCTTCCAGCCAATCGAACAAATATTTCGTAAGAGAATGAGGACACATAGAGAACTAATTGTAAACCTTATTCGACATTTCACACCACCGCACTATTTTCTTTTATTTCATTCATTTCAATCACTAGATAGAAAGTTAATCGTATCAAATAGCATCGTAATTAATGTTAAAACACGTTGCACAAAATAATGGAGCAAATCGAAATACCGCGTGCGTCTCAAATCGCAAAGTAAAATTGCACCTAAAATTCCCAAGTAAATCAAATTCCGTTATTGTTGGCGGTGAGAGACGATTGGAACAAGGGAACAAATAGCCGCGTATCGGAAAAGAGTTTCTCGGGAAGGAAAATTACATCCGTCCTCATAGTTCGCTATTACCATCCACCACCGCCTGCGCATTCGAACCGAATTAGAAAACTTTTCGCGTGATTAATCCCGAAAGGGTAACTTGGAAACGATCGAAGAACGGTTCGAAATTAAAAGTCCCCTCTCTCCTCCCCTCCCTCTCTCCTTTCGATCTTGATATATTAATCATTCTTGGGAAGCAAACGCTTCTCGCGGTTTCCGCGTGTCAAAGACGAGCCTCCTTTTGTTCAACCTTGCTCAAAAGGGTTAGATTAATATCGTGGAAGCTCGATATGAGAGAGAGAGAGAGAGAGAGAGAGAGAGAGAGAGAGAGAGAGAGAGAGAGAGAGAGAGAGTAGTACGTAGTAGTAGTACGGTACGGTACGGACGG